AAACCCCCCCCCCCCCCCCCCGAAAAATAACAAAGAATTGAAAACCCACTTCTGGCTTCCATTTGGCAAGAACTGTAACATCACCAAATGATAAGTCACATGTACTTCATGTCAAACACCATCCCTAATAAAGTGCTTGTCTACAACCGCATGATAGACAACTGATGGGGTCGGCGTTGGAGTTTTCTAGCTCTTTGGATGGTATAAGTCTGACTTTGGATCCACACCAAGGTTCAGACGAAGTCCAACCAACACCCGTGGAAAGGTGCGTCACTTATTTCACTTCACAACGTTGGTAATGTTGCCTGCATTGGAATGCGTATGATATTCATGTCAGCCACATGTGGCATGCTAGCGACTAACATGAATCAACAATAAAAACACTGCTACACAGGGTAACAGGAAATGAACTATACGGTCGCCATATGTTGAGATTAGCCTTAATAGCGATATGTTAAGCTGTGCTCAGTCATATCGAGAGTAATTTAATTTAACACTATGTCAAGGTATGTAAGACAGAAGTCGAGACCTTGGTTTCTGACCCTAAAAACGGGCGTGAAAAGAGAGTATGGGATTTGAGAACGATGAGCACAACAACACTTGGGATCGAAATAACTTTTCTATAAACTACAAAGATCACTTCTGTTACTGCAGTTCCAGTAACCTTGCCACATATACTACTTTGTTATTGGGTAACCGCGGACAAGCCGGTTTACGAACGTCCCGTACATCTAAATATATCAGGATGGACGGGAACTTGCTACCTAAGGGGATGGTTGTAGAAACAAACTAGCTGCGAAAGAACTACGAAAGGCGACACTAGGGGTAACAGTTACCTGATAAAAATACTCGGAATCTTCCAAGTCCGTTTTTGTCGAAGTGTCTAGATAATCGAGCCGCGTTCGTGCTGTTTACCGCATGAACAATGTACGGGGTTTTCATGCTCCATAATATAAAAGTGAATCTACCTGATACACTAAGTAATGGGAAGGTGTCCTTAGCCGAAAATGGGGAAGACCGATAAGATGGCACAACGACAGCATTCTGGATGAGAAGACTAGTCTGAGGCATGATTAGCTGGGACAACCTGGCAGTACCGCAGCCCTCGTGCTTTCTTCTGGTGGCATGGCAGTTAGGCAGCGAGAGGGTGCTACAGCTGAACGATCTCCAGAGGCTGTGTTGTAGGAGGCCAGCTAAATTGTTCATCGAGATTTTCGGCCAATTTTTCCAGTCGGCGTTTCTGAGATTGAAATAATGAGCCACCTTTTAATTTATCGTTTCACTCGCCGTTGCTCCCCTAGCGCCAATGGTCGTAGCAGTCGATATAGGGCACTGCTATTCCCGGTAACAGAAGCTCCCTCAATCTCCCGAGCTTTCAATGTCCATCAAAGCTCTCCTTAGGCTCTTCCCTATTGGGTGTATTAGGAAATCGCGTGCGCCATCGTACTTGTTGCTTGTCAGCGTGGCATCTGAACGACATACAGTGGTCATTTGATTACATCTTAGGAGTCGAGCAGACAACACCTAAAGCCGCTAGAATAGCTCCTTTCATATTTTGTCATGCTTTATTCACCTGCTCAGTACAGTATGGGTTGACTGTAGAGAGTCCTTGATTTACCGCAGATCGAAGATGGTAGATTGGCATGCTTCTTGCTAACCTGAGAGGGCCTGAATGAAACGCACTATCAGGCGTGCTCGTTCCATAGCGTGATCGTAATCAAGTGGTGTTCTTCGAAGGAACGGTAGTCTTGAATTGTAGCTCTCAACTAATGGCTGATAGCCACGTGATCCAACTGAGTCCACGGCTGATTTGTAGTTGGCGGCTGCCAAGCATTGGATTAGAGAGTGAGGCATTACTGTCTCAATCCTGATGCGACCAAGCGCAGACGTTGCCTTTTTGAGTAGCACCGGACTATTTGGTTTTAAAAGTACTTCGAACGTTTTGAATAATGCGCCGGCGGCCACGGCCAACTTGGGCGATCGGAATGTGCGCCTCTTCTAAACTGTCCTTCCTCGGGGGAAGGCAGCATCGCTGTTTCCGTGAATATGGACATGCTGGTCCTTTGGGGCCTACAGCCTTTATACTTCTACTGCAGAAGACTGTACGACTTTACCCCAAGACCGCCTCGTAGCACGATTACTCGTAGTACGGGGTCTTGCTGCTCTTGGTCTGACTAATCCCCTTTGGCATTCCGGGCATGGAACGAAGTTCCAGCCAGTGTAGCCAAATTTGAGCCAAGCGCTCTGAACGGACAGACATTTGATTATTTTACGAAGCTGAGTTTGCTTGTCGGTCTAGTGTTAACGCCTGAACCAACTCAGGCTAGTATCAGTTGGTATCTTACTGAATAAGTCGGATACTGCTGCATCACAAACGTATGCATGTTTTAGTGCCAGTCACAGTGCGATGTAGGCGGTTAAAACAAAAGGAGAGTCATGAACAAGTAACTATCGCGAACAATAAGTGCATTCAACGAGTCAGGAATTGCAGAGATGCTTGGTTCCAAGAAACAGGAGGCATTCATACTGAGAGTTACGTCAAGTTCTACTTTTGAGAGCAAGGTCATCATTCAAAATCAGATTCGTCAAAGCCGCTTTGACTAAAAGTCCTTCAAATTAATGGGGATTAACAAGCGAAAGTTGCACACACTCCCCCTTGCTAAAAAAGCCCGTTAAAAGCTGCCAACCGAGGTTGCCTAAATTCAAAAGTGCTATAAAAGATAAAAGATCACAGCTGTAAAGTGTGCTTTAAGCACTATACATTCGTAAAGTTGATGCTCGAGTACAAAATACGACTGCGAACGTTCGGCGATGACTTTCACCCACTGAGTCCCGGAAAACTGAAACCGCTGGTTGCTGTCAAATGAACCTGAATGTCAGCCCAACTAAATGACAAGGCATTTGCGCAGCATATTCCGAAAAATATCGTGCTCACAAGATTCAGTTAGCTACACAGCACTATCATGTTATGAAAGCACAGTTTCGACAACATAAGGTACACAACTGCTTTTACGGAGCACAATAAGGGAAAGCAGTAAAAGACGAGCGCGTGACCAGAATCTACATGGGGGCTGCAGAGAAAGCAACAATTGATAATAGATTCATGCCACCTACGGCGATGTGGTCTATCAGGATTTGAAGTGAGCTCTCAAGGCGCAAGCACCATGTGGCCAAATGGCTTCGCAATTAGTATTGGGCAGCTACAACATGTGGTCAGTAGCGCATCAAGTGTTCGCCGTGTCTCGAATCTAGTCTAAGACGACCATTGAGTTGAGTGATAGCAGCGCTGACTCCGCCCAATCGTGCGTTCACAGAGTGCTGACGTTAAACGCCTCTAGACGAATTAAGTGTCAAGCTTTTGAGGAACAATTTCGAGCGTAGTGGCCGAGTTAAGCGTACATATATAGCGATAATGTACGGTGAACGGACGTCAATCCTGAAGAATAAATTTACAAAGGCTCCGCCAGAAGATCAAGGGGAGTAGAATGAATATGTGACAAAGAGAGTTACAACCTAAATTTGCAGTACGTAGGCGATGACGAAATCCCTTTGTAACGGTCTTCGTATGCAGGGCCACTGCAATCAACCCCTTTTTGACAACGTCTACGTAATGCTTGCAAACGGAGTCAAGAAACAAACAGCTGCCAGTATTTTTGCATCACAATCACTTTGGCACCACACATGATGCCGACGAAATTCGGTCGTGCACTTTTTTGACATGTCGCCCATTTCTCATTAGCGTACAATGTAACGCACTATTGTATCTTTAGCTCGTCTGTCCGGGAGGATTGCATTGTACCTTGCAAGCAACTCTCTGCAGCGGAAGCTAAGCGCTGCGGCACCATAAAGCCCGGATAAAGAGTATTCGCCAACGCATTAGAAGCTGTGGACTCAGCGATTAGCTCACATGAAATCGCCAACTGAGGCAAAGAACTTTAAACTAAACGCTCCTTTGTCAAATCACCCTAATATAGCGCGATGTAGAATGTAGAGCGACCTAAAGCTGTGGAAACCATGAATTTCAAACGTGTACGGGCTCGGCGTGGGGCACTTAGGTCGAATTCGTCAACAGACGGATGGATGCTAGCGTCTTGTGGCAACCGAACAATGTTTATCGAACTATATGCGGTATGAAATGCTGGAGTACACATGATGGTTCCTGTTGATTCGCTCTCGAAATGTCAAACAGTTTCTGCTACTCAACTCACTACAAAATCTTCCGGACTCCTTAGAATGAACCAATACCTAAGTGTTCAAACTCTCACGTCCAGAAATAATATCCATCACCTCTTGTATAGCATTGGAAGCAACCAACTCAAGTGGATCAGCAAAGTTAAAAAAGCCTTGAATCAACGTATCCTCATTATAACTGATTACCCCCCGGAAAAAGAATCGATGGAACATTCTGGCGTTCCCATCAAATGTTTCCTTGCATGAAAAAGCAAAACTGGCCTTTCGTCGGAACTGGTTTTATACGCGCTGATATGCGAAATTCAATATCCCTCTGGAGAACGGGTACAAAAAGTCCCATCGCCGCCTACAACAAAGATAGAGCAGTTGAACAAAGCTCCTCGGTTTCCGGCATATATTGACTTCGCTCATACTAGTAGCCCTTCAATAACTATCTTGACTTGCAGGATGCCATTCCAGCTCAAGCTTCCCAACCTCCTCACTACCTACGAGACAATCTTATGTAGCCGAGACCCACTCGAGATATTGACTTCTACGACCTCATGTGTCAGTAGATGCGTCAGCCACAATAATGGCGCGGTTCGAGTAAAAATGCAGACCACAAAATTCCACCGTATGCACGCCTGAAAAAAATTCGCGTCCTCCATAGGGTGTAGATACAGCGTATCCGTCGTACTTAACACAACCAATCAACGGAGAGCGTACCTGCGTGCACAGCACTGGAACACTGACAACAACTATCATTGGAATTACTATACGGGATGGTCACGTGTGTGTGCATAGGGCTTGCCGAATGTCATATGAATGAACAGACAACCACGCATACAATTCAGAAAAATCCAATAATTACTAACATCACATGCTGAGTCGGCACCTGAGAAGAATGTTCACAGGCAGTGTGGTAGTTAATCTGAGTGCTGAGTGCTTCGTTTAGGGTGCAGCAACCATCCCAGCTACGCATGACAGGGTTTCAAAAGCCTTGCCGATTCAACCACCTCCAAGGGCAATAGGGAAAAAATGAGCACTGCCAAGCAAACAAATAGCTGGTATTGTTTTGTGCAAAAATAGGTGATATTACCAACCAGACTATATTCCTTTTCGTATTGCAATATCACTGCTTGTTTAACAAGACTGAAAACCAGTTAAACGTACGTCAGTCTTGTTCTAGGCTACGATGCAGTATCGAGGTGGATCAGGTAGACCTGAAGCAGGGTTTGTGATAAATCAGTTATCTGGAATAATAAGACGAATACTGAAATCTCAAAAAGGCGTACACTGTATTTCCACGAATACAAATCGCACTTCAAAGAAATGACCTCAGTAAAAGTAATTCTCTAACAGGTGTTTGGCTGTGCGGCAGGTACTTTAACCGGGGAAAACATCCAGCGCCACCGACTACGATGGCTCGGTTATAAGCTACGCATGCCTAAACAACGTCTACCGGGAATAGTGTTGTTTCGCGTGCCCCCGTCTGTGCTTGGCTGGAGACATTGCCAGAAACGGCGGCTGATCGATGTCAGTGGCGTTCGTGGTGCCAGTTTCTTTCCAGATTGTTCGACTGAGCGCTTGGAGGTGTAGACACCTCGGAATGCTTATCGCAGGTCAGCACTAAGTCACCTGCATTACCTACTCTTTCTCTTATTTTAACTCTGGGGCTTTAAATATAATTAGACCAACCTTATGGTTGTACGGCAGTGAAGCATCAGTGCTAACACTGATGTTTTTGATGATGACGATGATGAGATGACGATGATGACACAAATACATTCGGATCCGTGAGAGTGCGGTTTAAATCGTGCAGCAATTCCCGTTGAGACCGGACCATTCACGTGCGCACTTAGAAACTATTGCTTTTCCCGATTATCGGTCCCTAATGAAGGCAAATGAAGTGAAATAGCGCCACTAGAAGAATAAATACAGTTCGCTTGTTTTAATCGGTCAAATATGTTCCAATGGGACGAATACCAGCAAGAAACTAGGTGAACTGCATTAACGTCTACAAAGAGGACAAATATATTAAAACCTGTACTAGAAAACTGTATGTTCGTAAGGGTGAAGAGCGAACTGAGTAGATCTCGACGTAAAGCCTATAGAACGGCTATTTCCCTGAAATGCATTCTTTTTCAAAACCCTAACCGTTAGGCTTCAGTAAAAACGGAAAAGTTAAACTAGAATATGGAACAGCAAATGTGTTTCTGCGGCGCTAATGAACAACATAGTTCCTCGAATGTACGGCTTTTCAAACGAACACTCAGTAAGTAATAACTTCAAAACAAAAGAATGTTTGGTGATATCTCAGGCAACCCCGGTAACACGAGAATAGTGTGCACGAAATATGGCGTACACGAAAATAATGCTTGATCTTCCGTAATTTTTCAGACTGGCCCATAATAGCCGTCTCAGCAGATGATCCTGTCCGTTGTGCACTTTTGGTTCTCGCATTTTGTTTGAATCGTGCACTTAAAAATGCTCAGATCAAACATGGGTTGGGTATGGTCACACAGCAAGCAATCGGTGGACTTACTGAATGACACAGTGCATGACTTATTGTCCCGATACTGGAACCCACCAGCAGATGAACACTAAACCGTTCGGCTACAAGCGACTGATCAGCGGTGTGAGTAACTCGCAAATCTTCTGTTTTCAAAACGGTCTTATTCAACCGAGGTGATATTAGTTAGGTGGCCGTCGCATCCGAACAGTTCTAATCCACTCTTTTGCGCGGGTTGCCATCATACTAGAAAAGCGGTTAAGAAAAGAACAAGCTGGTTTTGCGCAGTTTGCAGCCACATAGATCAAATCCTCAGCTCTTGAGACACTGTCACAAGTACCATAGATCTGCGTATCACTACAACTGTACAATGTCGACGAAGCGCCAGCAATGATGCGTCAGATTATTCGTTGCTGACAGTTTCGCCTTGAGTAGGTGTGTTTCGTTGAGTGGGGTGGTCGGGTCAAGCCTCAAGCATCCCCACCTATCGGATACAGCGAACTGCTCTAGTGTATACATTTGATTACAAATGCTAAGCGGAAATGGTGTTTATTCCAATGCGTTTAAATAGGTACGCTTTATTCACGGCAGGTCCCTAAATCTCAGTATCATGTACACGTGCGAAAACGCAGCAGCTAGTGGAGTTCAGCAGAACGATGCGCTGAATAAATCGTAAGAAGTTCGGCAAGGTTTGATTACTGTTACACTGGGAGTAGTATAGTGCGAATATCTTCGGAAAGCCACAGAAGTGGTGCACCGCTACCGGTCATCGATACCGTGCACCCGATTTATGCGGAACTTTTAAAAAATCAAAAAAGCATCAAGAGGGCACTTTTTGGTGATCAGATATTCTAAAAATCGAGACCCTTGTTACGATTGAAAATCGAGCAAGAAATTTTTTCGCATCATCACTCCATGAGTAATTCGCGGAAATATTTGGTGAACTTCTTGCTTAATAAAATCTTTGTAAGTATAACGTCCACATGGTCATCCCAGGTTTTCAAACCTTGTGGCCCCGTTTTAGTTAGGGAAAAGTGGTCGGTCACCGATGCTATGATTTTGTCGACCTAAATTTTTCGAACCACTGGTAATCCAACAACAGCCGAAGAGATCCTCCGGTTTTTGGTGTCCTCATCAAACTAGCGTATTACATTGTTGGTAGTGTGAGGAGATTTGAGGTTTTTGTGGAGATTTCGTCCTGTATGTGAAGCCAATCTATGCTGAAAAGCCGAGAAGCACTGCACAGCTGTTTCATCCTCTTGCACTGTGGCGGCACACTTAGCATGAATGTCGACCACTTGAATGCTTCTCAACCCTTAAGTAAAAGTCTATGCTATCTTCAAGTGACAAGTCTTAAAACCATTAACATAAGAACACTGGAACCACTCAATTTGTCGTTACTCAGATGTGTAGCCGTTTCGATTCACAAGATACCCCACATATGACGAACGCCAAAATGACGCATACAAAAAATCCAACCCACCTTGTACACGCTGATCACGATTCATCCAGTATAATACACCTCCTTCAAACGGCCCACCTTTGCCCGTTTCCGCTACATCCGGAAACAAATTAGGACCACTGAGTTGGCGTACACGACATTTGGCAAACTTGAATTCTGCTACAGAGGATCCCGTAGATTGTCTTTGCTTTGCGATACGATCCAACCAGTCAAGGAAATCCCGACTGGAAGTTGTACTAGGGTTACCCTGGCCCACTGGCATGTTCTAATGAAAATATAATGAAGAAACAGGTCAGCGTAGGCTTGGAATGATCGAAAACATATGGATGAAGAACCACCCAGTCTTAAGATCGGTAAATCCATTTGCCGAATCGTCAGAATCGCACTACCGTTTATTATCGGCGGCTAGTGGTAGTGGTAGTGGGGAAGACACATGTACACACATGTGCAAGGTTCATCCATCACCTGAAAATGGCACGACGAAGTTCGCGGTGTACAACAGGGAATTCCAAGTTGTGACCGAACAGTGATGAAAGGCACGACTCCATGAGAAATTATCGGACTTACTTCGATCGTGGCATTGTCCGGGATTATCATAGAGTTCACTAGCTTAAGAAGACAAGCAAGCTACGTGCATCCAGATGGTTGTTTCCAGCATGCAAGTCATAAAGTGAAATTTGTGCAGCATACGCGAAACATGAGAAAAGTGGATGGAGGCTGCAGAAATTGAAAGTTATGTGCGAATTTTGCCCAGTTAGATGTCGTCGGCTCGAGCGAAAATACAAGTTGCAAGACAACCAAATAGGCAATCACGGTATCAAGAAAAGTTGAAGTGAAGAAACGAAAATCCGAAGTTTGACGGGGTGTTTGGATTGAAACTTCAAATCAAAAGCCGGATTTAAAATAACCTCGAACCAGAATGTTCCTGGCCGGAATAACTCCACATTCACACCCACATCACTCCCGTTTATACAGTCTTTTGTACTGTGGCAGTGCATTACATGGCCGCACCGGGCTCGCACTCTGAACATCCGGTATACGATGAGAGCGTGTTACAACTACTTCGCCGCTGCACTCTGGACGCACCTGAATTATCATGTCCGAACAGGCAAACGTGTCCACACTTGGGTGCTGTGACTGGTCTGGCCGACATCAGGCTCTCCCGATCGATTGATTCAAGTGTCAATCGTGGGGTCGAGAAAGCTCGGTGTTTAAGGTGACAGCTTACGGACATGAAGTCCCGCGGTTCGAAACCAACCTCAGCATCTCGATCACTCCTGTTTAGGTAGGCTTCAGCAACCTGATAGTATCCCAGCACTTATGCCTCCTTCCATTGGCATGGTAGCTAGACACCGAAAGTGTGTTACAACTGAAAGAATTTTCTTTCAACGGTAGGAACGCGAATTCTACAGAAACGCAACAACCAACAACTATCTAAAATTGTCCAGCAGGTTTAAGGCGCCCGCGACGCTGTCCGACTGGGAAGTACTGAAAGGCGAGTCGATCGGTCAGCATAACCAAGACGCTTGCTCGGTCGCCAATCCAGAAGCTAACCATCATCATTATCGACAGCATGACATCAGTGTTCAACACCGATGCTTCACTGGTTGTTTCCAGCATGCAAGTCATAAAGTGAAATTTGTGCAGCATACGCGAAACATGAGAAAAGTGGATGGAGGCTGCAGAAATTGAAAGTTATGTGCGAATTTTGCCCAGTTAGATGTCGTCGGCTCGAGCGAAAATACAAGTTGCAAGACAACCAAATAGGCAATCACGGTATCAAGAAAAGTTGAAGTGAAGAAACGAAAATCCGAAGTTTGACGGGGTGTTTGGATTGAAACTTCAAATCAAAAGCCGGATTTAAAATAACCTCGAACCAGAATGTTCCTGGCCGGAATAACTCCACATTCACACCCACATCACTCCCGTTTATACAGTCTTTTGTACTGTGGCAGTGCATTACATGGCCGCACCGGGCTCGCACTCTGAACATCCGGTATACGATGAGAGCGTGTTACAACTACTTCGCCGCTGCACTCTGGACGCACCTGAATTATCATGTCCGAACAGGCAAACGTGTCCACACTTGGGTGCTGTGACTGGTCTGGCCGACATCAGGCTCTCCCGATCGATTGATTCAAGTGTCAATCGTGGGGTCGAGAAAGCTCGGTGTTTAAGGTGACAGCTTACGGACATGAAGTCCCGCGGTTCGAAACCAACCTCAGCATCTCGATCACTCCTGTTTAGGTAGGCTTCAGCAACCTGATAGTATCCCAGCACTTATGCCTCCTTCCATTGGCATGGTAGCTAGACACCGAAAGTGTGTTACAACTGAAAGAATTTTCTTTCAACGGTAGGAACGCGAATTCTACAGAAACGCAACAACCAACAACTATCTAAAATTGTCCAGCAGGTTTAAGGCGCCCGCGACGCTGTCCGACTGGGAAGTACTGAAAGGCGAGTCGATCGGTCAGCATAACCAAGACGCTTGCTCGGTCGCCAATCCAGAAGCTAACCATCATCATTATCGACAGCATGACATCAGTGTTCAACACCGATGCTTCACTACCAGAAGCTGAACAAAACGGCTACTCGAATCCACTGCTTCACACCTTTCGTGGGGGTCACCAGAATAAGTGCACCAGTTCAGAATGAGAACGGTTCAAAGGAGAGTGACGTGAACTCTGTAAACCCCGCAACCATTCACAACTGATCCATGCAACCTACCTTCAGCAATCCATCAATCCATACCCGTGTGTGATACCTGTGTGATAAGGGCACATAAACTCCAACCAATAGAGTGACTACTTGACCACAGCTTCAACCGTCACACTGTGACCAGCGTTCCATCCTCCTGAAGGCTGATGAAACAGTAAAAGATATCGGTAGCCCTTGTTTCTTAAGACTTTTGTGACTCCCATTATTTCGCTCCTGAAAAAAAGTCACTCACGGTGATTACAGTGCTGTTAAAGAAACCTGCACATAAAGTCGCTTTCCCATCACGAACAAATCCGAAGTAAAGAAAACCCTGTGGAGATCAACCTACTGAATTTACTCTATTCGCCCTTGTTTTCCGCCATTCAGAAGGAGCTTCTAATGATGAGATGATAAATACTCAGAGGTTAAGCCAATCGAGTTTACGGTTTACTGGTGGGTAACGTCCATAAGCCACGACAGAGCTGTCCCGTAAAAGGCAACTCAACAGACTGTAGCCTAATGACAAAAGGGACTGGTTTTTGAAGGAACCCATGAGCTGCTTGTAATATTCATAAGCCCAACATCAAGATAACTTGCAGCAGGTATCGAGGAACACAAACAATAAGCTCGGTCCAGCCCACGGAAAACACCACAAACTTAATAGCTATGGAGAGACTGGACGACTGTGTTCTTCGTGCCCCTCAGTTAGGCAAGCTGCTGTTCAGCTGTAACGCACTTTCGGTCCATAGCTACCATGCGTAACGAAAGAATCACAAGAGCTGAGACACCAGGTGTTTCAGTATGGGTGTTGAGTTCCCCGATACGGAACTTTGATTGACGCGTAAATTGGACAATCCTGAATATCAAGAGGAATCGGGTTCGAAATTCCACGGTAGTATTTACAAATGCGTAAGCAAATGCACATAAACCTCAAATGTCCACGCTCGTAGCACCAACAAGTGCACAACTCCGTCACTGACCGGTACAGTGCAGTGTCAGCGTCCGCGTCCGCACACCACACAAAGGTGAGCGGAATATTACCTCAGTGGTGTGGGTTGCGGGCGTCCGTTCCGACGACAGCCTCGTGATTCTCACAGACGCAACTCATGAGAAAACAAGTCAAGGCAGGCTCAGCAAGCGGGACACAACGCATGTAGGTAATTAGGTCAGCTGCGCACATTCACACAGACATGCTAATACACAAGTGTCGGACGGGACGGCCTTTGCGGTAAGGTGAGTGGCGGGAGCAAAACAAGTGGAGATTAAAAGTACAATGGCGGAGTAGAGGAAATGAATGGGGGAATTATCATAAGGTCAGGTTATATTCAATAAAGGGTCAAATCCACACGGACAACACTTATGTGTCGAAATCTTTTGTAACTGAGTCCGCAACGCATCAACTGCAGTGACGGAGAATACGTGCAAGTCATCTACTAACCGTTATTATACTAATACGAGACATTAGTTATTTAATCAGCGACGCGTCAAATAGGTCGGTAATAATAATCATGTCATGACCCACTGAACAGCACTGATACAGGTTCGGGTTCTTCCTTACTTCTTACTTCTTCCATGTAACCAGTTACAGATTTCCCACGGTTCATCAATAGGCAATTCATTCACTTTCATTCTCATTTTCCAATTCCGCACGACAGAAAAGTGTGAGCGTAGAATCAAAAAGTCATCAACACCATCATGGACAGCATGGCATCAGTGTTCAACACTGATGCTTCGTTGTAGTACAACCATTATCTCTTTGAAAGCCTCATTGTGAGGAAAGGAAAAGGAGAGGAAACGGACTTGGTGCCGGCTTACTACAATCAATCCGAGGTGTCTACACCTCCAGACACTTTCAGGCAATCTGGATAGTGTACGTACACTTAAACCTCATCCACTAGGCATGAAGGGAACGACAATCCTGACACTAAATGATGGAGACCATGCAGTGTAACATACGCAAGCCGCAGGACTTTTATACCAATCAGAGCACACGGTATGTTTATCAGTCTTTGGCTAGCCACCCCGGACAGCTTCATGGAGTATATCTGCGGGTATTTTCACAATAGTAACTAAGATCGTTTGTCTGTAACCGGAGAATGAGCCAAATGGCACACTAAGTTGAACGCTTTACCTGGGTGATTGACGAAAGTATCGTGAAATGCTAACATTTAGCTTTTTACGTCCTCTGGCCACTATAATGAAGTGGTTCAAGGAAACTCAGTGATTCACATTCGCAAGTTAACAGTGAGTGGAAGCTGAGAAGCCTCAGCAGTAGCGTCATTTTGCTTGTTTTCGCGTATCGTCATTTGTTGGGTGGCGAGGTGTAACCACGGTCCGAAGCCTATATAGGAATTCTAGGGTTCTCACACAAGCCCTTGAGCTATCTCAACAGCGGTCGATGTCTAAAGACTAACTGAGTAGCATACTTCTAAGGAACACGTTTGAACATCATTTGGCTACAGCCTACCGTACCCATAGATAATCTTTGCATGATGGTGTGGGAATTTTTCAATCAACATTTCATCTTGTAGGTAAACTGAAGGGGTTAAACAAACTGCTGTCCCCGCTCCAGTGCCTTAGTGTCGAAAAAAGGCTGACCAACGAGGGACACAATAGATTTAATGCAAACAATTGAGTGTCACGCTACTTAAAGCGCACTTGAATCCAGGCTATCCGACCGGCGTTGGGTTGACACTAATCATCGTCGGCCGTTGTTGTACTAACTAACTGCTTGCGCGTTTAATCTCAAGCTGGTCCAGATGCTTGATAGCTTCCTTACTGCGATTTTAGTGAAGTTTGAAGGCCTCAATAGATCTAAGGTATTCTGGGACTGTTTCCAGAAATGTTACCTCCCTGAAATCAAGCTATGCCAAGAAACTGAGAAATTACTGCACACAAGTTGTATCCTTACTGGGAATCTTCACTAGCGCACATTTCACGAGTCTCCAGAACGATTCGAACCGGCGAACTCCCGCCTACTAATCGAAGAGCACCTATTGTCCATTCCAGGGGATACCGTTACGAAGATACTGAACCTCACCATTTGTGATGGCTTGCGTACCTCCATAACCCACTAAGCTGGGCTATATTATAATGAAGGGGATGTGAGCTTCTGTGAGTGGTGCGCACCATTATCTACTACAACCCAATGGATTGTCGAGATACTCTAACCATCAGGCCCTAATTTGCAATCCCTCATCTCCTCTAAGAGAAATTGATGTGATGGAAAAAAGCGTGCATTGTACATTGTCCCGTTTGGTTCATTTATACTAATTAGGCATTTCACTTCTGAAGGAGTTAACCGAAAAGCAATCGCTGTAACTTACCCTGAGGCATGCAGTATTGTGAAAACAAAGTCGCTGTTGGGACCACAACCTGATAAGGAGCCTCGTAGAAAGGGAGAGGGCGAAATCGCCCGGTTTGTGCAGTGTGACTCCGGTTGTTTCAGTCCACAGTTAAGTTATTCTGAAGCGATACCGTAGCAACGGAGAAGTAAGTCATTGAATCAGGTTAGCACTTGAAATGAATTCTGTCGTGTCGCACTCAGTCCCAAAGGACAAAATAAATGTCGCGACTATTATCGATGTGTCAGGCTGCATATCCAACAATATTAATGTGTTTCAAGAAGTAGACTACTTGCTCAGAGCATCAGCAGGTGTAAAAACGACGTACATGTATAGTGGTTATAGCTGCCACAGTTTCGCTCACCAACGACCAGGGGAAATAGGAGTGGAGAGCCACGTATCAGTTGCAGTGGCTGATGGAATAGATGCGTGAATCCAGGAGCTTCAGTGAACTATTCACTGGGGAAATAAGGAGAGGAAGCTGTGAGTTGAAGGCAACAGCTTGGAAGCACTCACGCTATTAAGCGCACGTTTGGGCCAATGTCTCTAACCACTGTTGTCCCATCTCTGGCTCCCCACCAAGGGTAGAGCAATGACTAGCACAGCTGAGTTTGACGGTAACGGCAAGTGATTAGGCTCACCCAGGCATAAAACTCAGCTGCTGATTTCCGACGAAATGTGTTTTTGTCAGATTGCTTCGCTCTGACAGACACGTATGCTTTACCTCATTTCAACTGTTCATCATTCAAACGAGCCAGCTCGTTGAGTGTATCGAATCGAAACTAACCAAGCATGCTGGTTGCCGACTAGACTCAGACGAGTCCATATTCTTTCAAGAGATTGTAGGCAGTGTATAAGTGTACAGGCCTAGGCGACAGTGTCGACCCAGGTTTTGGTACGGTTTAGAAACAAGACACCTCTGAAAGCGTCCGTAGCGAATAACACGACAGTTATCTCCACAAGGGACAACAAAATGAATGTTGATACCGATGCTTCACTGTCGTGCAAGAATGAGGTCTACTCTAATCTACTTCAGGCCCTAAAGTGAAAAATTGAATGGGGAAAAGACCTAATGATGATAGCCTACCGCAGTCCTTCTATGGTTTCCATGCCTCCAAATGCTCGATAAAACAATCCGGAAAGTGGCAGCGCGAAGACTACTGAGATCACTTAGTCACCATTTCTTGCAGTGTCTCTAGCCTAGTCGGTGAACAATCAAGACCACCCAATCCTTAGGGACCGATCGCACCAACAAACAATCTCCTCATTAACTCCTTCACATCATTGGGCTAAGTAACTTTTCCAAAATCAGCTTGCGCCATTGAGGCAGGCACAGAGAACAATAGTTGTCACTGTGGTGTATGACTCGCCATGGGTAAGCCGCCGCAGTCGACAGCACTGGATACTTTCCAAGAATGAAAACATCTGCTGCACAGCCAACAAGCCATTGTCTAACTAACTCTTTACAAATCGTTCGACGCCATTCCAGACCAGCAAGAGACATCGGAAGTCAAGAACTTGGAGGTACCTCAGAAGAACTCCGCGCAAAGGGTCAGGCCTCACAACAACACAGTAATCACTGAAGCGTAACACACGCGAATCTTTCTAACACAAGTGACACAAATCGGCCAACATAATCCACGCCTTCGAGATTCGTGCGCAGACAATTGTCATGGCTAATACAACTAACGAGGTATGTGGAACTTTCTATAACCTCTAATGCTTTTCTTGAATCGCAGTTGACATTTTACGGTGCACAACTTGAACCTTGTGGGCAAGAGCCGTATGCCGAAACAGTGTATGATGCTGGTCAGTTTATTCAACAGAACTTGTGCTTGGCCTTCGTCTTAGACTAGGAGAACGGCGTCGTTTGCATACGCTATGGCGACCAGGTTCGTACCTGCAAAGAAGAAATCATGGCGTTTTTGAAAACACTTCAGTGTTCACCTCATTATTCGAATAACGGCAAAGATGGACAGAAATGGAGACACCTGACATCTTTGCCACACAATCCTATATAGAGAAGCTTTAAGAGAGACCACTTCATATACCTTCGGTACTAGGTGAATGTAAGGACTGAATTGTGTTCAAAAAATTTGGGGCGCCTCCTGATGAGCAATTTAATTTCACTCTATCAGCTGCAAATCGTGTACCATATGCACACTGGTTCAAGCTGCTACAGTCTCCATCACCAGAAAGTGCGGGATATGCAGAAAAGCTATGCAGGCGACGGCATATTCAGCTAAACCGGAAATCGAATACCTTAAGGTCAGTAAATTCGCGCTTTAACCACTGAGCTATCTTGCATCCTGTACCATCTCGCTATCTAGCTGTAGAGTTTTCTGGCATGCGGAGTACACGTCTTAACAAGCGTATTTTTGGAAGTAATCTAACCATCTGTTGCGGGAAGGTTCCTTATTCCTAAGACCATCCGGCCTACCTCATCAATACTAATCCGACATCTCCACCAGGCCCTACTAATGCTGCGGGGACAACGATGGTCAAACACTGACATCTTTCGTATGTCCTCTGTGCGTGAAGGCCACGTCTTTGATTCAGAAAGCAGTGCGGACCACACTGCTCTTGATAGACAAATTGAGGTCACGTTGGCACCATAGCTGTCGGAGGTTGGCAAAAGCTACTTTAGTCTTCCCTATTCGACAAGCAATCCAGCTAATTCATGGAACTTATACAACTGCCTAGGTAAACAAATTTATCTGCCACATCGATTGGCTCGTCTGTAATCATGAGGTTTGGGTTTGATCCCATCCACTCTCGTAGCATCACATTACACTCTGTTGGTGTAAAGTGCGTAACAAACCATGCAGCATAGCTACTTATGCCATTTAAAATGGTTTGCATTTTGGAAAGGCCTGATCTGATTGGACCACTGACCAATCGATAGAATCGGGCGCACATTTCAGGTCAAGGAGCACCATGACCCTGAGTTACTTGTATATGTGAAGTTGCTCCAACACGTGTAGTGTGAAGATGTGGTCGATGCAGCCTCTATCTAGTCTACATTCCGCTCGATGCTCATGGGTTAAGATTTTGCGTAAGAACATATGATCATGATTGCCATCGACAGCATACAATCAGTGTTCAACACTGACGCATCGTTGCCGTACAACCATAGGGCCTTATTGTGAAGAAAAGTATAAGAGCGGACTGGTAAAGGACTTGATGCTGGCCTTACACAATCATTCCCAGGTGTCTACACATCCAGACATTCACTCAGGCAGTCTGCATAGAAAGGAACAAGGACAAATAGCAGCCACATCTTGCGGTGTCTGCAGCAATGCAAACGATGGTTCGGCATAAGCAATACATGGTCTAACCGATGCGGCCTCTGATGGTGGAAAAATCCTTCTGCAGAAATCCCGGTTGCACAACCCGTTACGCAACCCCGTTACACACAACCCGTTGCACACCTCGTTACGGATTCCCCGACATCAACCCACATGAACCATAGTTCTGAGACAACAGTTGCCTCAGTTCGGCTGCTCGAACGGAATCGTAATCATACGACAAAATAGCCCATACTGCAGCCTGATAAACATATCTCTTGAGATTTAGGGATACACCGCTTCGATGCCCAAATTAGCAAACGTGACACAAACCTTTGAGCTTTGTGAACTGTCACACTTCAATCGGAACAAATACAACTTCCAAGATCTGTAAAGCGCTCCACAACTTATAGTGTCCCCTTGGATTTTAAGTAGCTTATTCAGTGACTAAATGTTCAGGAGCATGACGTTACACCTAGTGGGTGCAAAGCGCATGTCAAAGGACGGTGACTTCGGTCAATTCATCCCGAAACACCTGAGCTTTATTCTGCTCTTCGAAGACGAGAACGATGTCTGCGTATGTCAGATCAACAAGGTTTCTCTCAGCAGCTATCTGAACACCACAGTTTTGAAGATCGTCACGAAATTTACTGGGAATGGGGTGGACATCCGTGTCGGCTACCGATTGTGCGCGACAGATTTTAAAGAGCCCTGCAACTATTCTCATACGCCCGTGCCACCTAAGGACAACAAAGAACCTATGACGCCAGAAGCCGTGAAAAAACGCGACTTAAACTGACACTACTGCAGCCCCTACATTCACTGTGGATAGCTTTTTAAGAATGGGCAATATTACCGACTTACCCCATTGCCTGAGAGGGTATATGTCTTCGAGATGGACGCAATTAGGTCAAACAGACACTGGCTGAGGAATTCACGTATACGAATCAACACAGTCGGTTTAAGATTAGTTGCCAACAGGGTTTTTCGTGTGTACCCAGAGAACAGACCTCGATTAAAAATGATCGAAAATCCCTAGCTTGTCACTATCTGAGACACGCACAGAACAAGTTACGTATGTATCAATGGATGGATTGACTCGAACCTTGGTCTTGGAACTAAACTTTCCTCAGATGCGTTTCGTTGGATACGACCCAATCGAGCTGTGACCTCATCATCAGCCTGCCCATTCGGAATGGTTGAGCTGAGGTATTTGAACTTGCGGCTACTCTACAGAGCCAACTGGTCTGCATCATCATCGTCATCATCATTGTCAGCTGTAATAACCGCGTACTTGTCGTACAAATGTTGTAACTGCCACAGTTTCCTTCACCGATGATTCGGAGGTGGGGTAGGTAGCTGCGCATCGGAGGCGGGAGCTTATAAATTCGTGCGTAAATACAGCACTGTAGGTGAACTGTTAAGCGAGGGGATTGGGAAGGGAGCTATGTATTGAAGGCATAAGCTTCGATGCACGAGCGCCATTGAGGACCGACTGGGCCATGTCCGACAATGTCTTTAACCATTGGTATGGCCCGTCTCGGGGTCCCCATCCAGGAAGACGGCAATGAAAAGCGCAGCTGAGTTTGCTGGTAATGGCTTTCATACTTCGCTGCCAAGTCATTGTTTGACCGCCTCTGGCTCTCTTTCACCCTTCAAGTGATTGTGCGAAAAGAGCCGTTCGAAGAAGTCGGTCGACTGGCATACGCAGAACGTGGTCAAGCCAGCGCAACTAAGTAGTGCGATCAGTTCATCCGTCGAGGGTGAGTTATTTCTTCCGAATGCCAATCGATGAACTTCAGTATTGCTGATCCGGTGTTCCCACCAGATTCGG